CTTTCTTCTTTTTCTTTTGTTTTTTTCTTTTTAGTTTCAAAACATATATTATTTTATGCAATATGTTAAAATATTATAATTTTATCATGTAGTGATTGTTAATAAGGTATTTTACATTATTTTTCCATTCTAAGTTCACACAATCTGATGTATATTTTACACTTGTAGACTACCTCAAGCTAGACTACCTACATTTCTTAACGGAAGTGCCAGTAGGTAAAGTGGCAAAGAATTCAGCAGCCAGAGAATCTGATTTAGGTTCAAATACGAATACCTTCATTTACTAGTTTTCCCTCTCCGCTTTGGTTAACTTTCTTAAGTTTTCCAGATATTAACTTTGTCATCTGCAAATTATCTATTATTGCACAAGAGGTGTTGTGTGCCTTAACTAAAGTGAGGTATATAAAGTGGATATCCTACTGCAGCATTTCTCAACCTCAAAACTATTGATACTTGGTCCTGATAATTTTTGTTATGTAACCAGAATTGCCTCCCTAACCCACTGAGAACCACTAGCCTATTTCCTGGCACCCAAGTGCTTAATAAATGTCAGCTAATGCTACTTATGGTTAAATAGTTAAAAAGACTACGCTACTTTTGAGGTGCTAATAGGCAATTTCTTACAACTTCACTTTTAGTATAGAGGTTAATTGACTCTCTGGTGGGCTGAGATTTTTTAAAAGTAATTATTAACTTTTTAAGCCCACATTTAATAATGTAATTACTTCTTTTACATCCAAGGAAATCTGAATTGAGTGCTTCTGAAACTTTCAACTTTTTCTGGAAATTTTTATTTTGTTTAGAAAATTTCCAAACATACACATAAGTTGAAAGATTTTTATAATGATCACCAAGAGTCACTCAGCTGTTAACATTTGGCCACATTTGTTTTATCTTTCTGAAATGAATTTATACAACCAAAGGGGGAAAGTGAAAATAGTTTGTATAAATTCTCAGACATGATTCATTCTGGTAGCACCCTGCTTTTCAACTTTCTGTCCAGTTCCACTTATCATTTCAGCAATGTCTATTGCAGTATTCAGATAATTCAGTCTGAATGTTTGCATTGAAAGTGTGTGCATCTGATTTTTCTTGATTTTTACATTCTTCGTATGCCTAGTATCTGTTCTGAGATGGATTTCTGGCTAGACCCTACATATTGATAGTAGTCAGTGGTTTAAATTGTCACCTATTTGGAGGAGTCTCATTTGATTTATTTTATTTCTATTTTCTCTGAGTCATAGTGAATTATCTGATTACATTTGGCCCATCAGAATTAAAATAGCATTTTAAAAGTAAGGCTGTAAACTTCCCTAGAAAAGAGTGAGTTGCATTTTAAATTTTGATAGTTTTCAGTTGCTACTGCAAGATGAATATGTCAAACATAAATTCTCAGTCATTAAAATCTAATTTATAAAAAATGAACATATTTCTTAATTTACAATACCTTTGTTTCATTAGTAAACATTTTCTCAGTGTCTAAAATTAGATCAGAAAATTAATACAGAGATATATACTTTAATGTTTGTATATTGGGGAATTTCTATTTTATTATTGCTTTTGGATATATTTTTTTTAATTTGAAAAATAAACTCTATCATGGTTTAAAATGATTTAACCTAAAACTACCAAATAAGTTTATTATATCCTATTACCTGATAGTACCCTGGAATCTCTTGAATAAAAAATCACATCTGTGATGCTCAAGCTACTGTTTACATTTAAACCTTGTCCTATAATGTAGGTATAATTATAAAAGAATTTTAATCTGCAACTGAACAGTTTTATGGCTGTTAAATTTGCATAATACATTGTTACTTCTCACACTCACTTTTCTCCATGCCTTTCCCATCTCATTTTGCAAGTAAAAATACTCAAAATCTCAATGACTAAAATGGTTTATAGTAGTTATATAGTCACTGTATCTCTAGGTAGATAGAAATTGTATCCTGGATGTATAATTCAATCAATGTAAGAGTGGGAGAAGGTAGTGCAATGTTCTTCAGATTTAAGAATTTAAGTTAGGAACAACTGGATGGAAATTATATATATAATTTTTAAATGTTGGATGTTATTTGTTTCTGGTGAAGCAGCCATTACCCCTGAGCAGGATTGCATTCATTTTCTTCCCAGTGGTTGAACCAAGCTAAATCTGCGCAAAGCAAACTCCTGTGCCAGATCTTGCATCCTCTTAACTGATAATAAAGAACCTTGCCAGACTGACAGGTTGTCACAGCAATTATTCACATGAAGCTCTGTAGCAGTTGTATCTGTCAGCCCATGTAGTACTGAATATTTTAACTGGCAGTCTTCCAAGACTGAACATTAATCTTACCATCTCCTATTACAGTCCCTAATCAAGACATTCCAGGGGTGATTGCACTAACATTGTTTGAAGACTACATCTACTGGACTGATGGGAAAACCAAGTCACTCAGCCGTGCCCATAAAACCTCGGGAGCAGACAGACTCTCACTGATTAACTCATGGCATGCCATCACAGATATCCAGGTGTATCATTCTTATAGACAACCTGATGGTAATTATTCTTTCCATGATTTCCATAAGTGCATCAACCTCTTTTAGTAACATTCCGTTTTTTGTTCCCTCCAAGTTTAAATGTGAATTTATTTTTGAGAACAATTATCAGATTTCATTATTTAGCATAATTGTATAGAATGAATTCAGCTGATGCAAAGTACTGTTATTAAGGGATATGATTGGAAGCTCGATAATAGTATAAATAATTATTGATTTGAATTTATATTAAGCTGAAACGACAATGCTACATGTAGTTGGAGAAATGGAGACTGCATTCTTGAAATAATTTATTTACAAATAGTTATAGGCCCCTTAGTTTCTGGAATTCTGGGTAAAAGGAGTTATATTTAAGTAGCCTTAGGGTTGTAAAAATGAGAACTATATTAAGTTTTCTTAAGCATATGTCTAGTAGGAATTCTATCAGCCACTGTGAATAAAGCTTTGATTATATTGCTTAAAACACAAATTTGGCCTAGAAAACAAAGCCACTTCACTATTAGTGGTAGATCATTGTTTCATTGTTTATTTTACATTAATATTTCTAAACATATATATCTATTCTTTTAAAATTCTTCTTGTCTCTCATTTCCTTTTTCTGATGGACAATTATTTTTCTAATAAATGCTTGTTTTTGTATCAATGCATCCTTAAAACGATTTAATGGTAAAAATAATGCCATTGGATAATGAGTACAATTTGGAACAAAATAAAATTATATTTATAATCTTGATGAGTTCTATTCAAATTCAAATTATGAAGCTTTAATGTCATATCTTTATATTAGGCAATTGGTCTGTTATCCTGTTTTCTTGTTGTTTCTTTCTCATTTGTAGTCTCCAAACATCTCTGTATGATAAATAATGGAGGTTGCAGTCATCTGTGCCTTTTAGCCCCTGGAAAGACTCACACCTGTGCATGTCCCACCAACTTCTATCTTGCAGCTGATAACAGGACTTGCTTATCTAACTGCACAGCCAGTCAAGTGAGTAAAGGTCTAGAAATCATTTCATGGGTGTATGGGCAAGCTGTTATAAAGACTTTGCCTGAATTTTGTTTATTTGTTTAAACAGTTTTTGGCACATCAATTTTTTGTTGTTATTATTTGGCATAACATTAGCTAGTTGATCATTCCATACATTGTAAAGAAGGTCACAGAGTAAGGGAAAAAGCAATTTGTTATATGTGGTTAAAATGAAACAGTAATGATTAGGAAGTACACATTGAGGCCAAAAACAAAAACGAAAACCAATCTTACACAGTTCCATGTAATATAACGTTTCAAATCATGACTGGGCATAGCAGATTCATCAGAGGAAATTTGACATATTTCAAGAAGGCAAGGTGATTTAGGCATAGGGCTAAGGCTAAGACATGTGCTGCTTAAACAAACCAACAAGTCTTCCTAGATAATCTGCTCTGTATCATCATCTCCACTATTCTCCTGTTCCTCAGAGCATGTGATACAGAAAAGAGGAATTGGGTGGAAAGTGATTTTCTAGATTTTTTTTTAATTGAAAAATTCTATGGTCTAAATAATTTCCTTCTGAAGCCTCTTTTTCTTCAACATGTAATTATTGTCAGTAAACATTTACCAGAAGTTAAATTTTACTTAATGGTAGTTGCATGGACTTGATTTTATTACTTTAAAGTTTTGGACAGTAGTCATATGACAGTATAAAATTTTGTTTTGTTATATTTAAATCACTATCCTATTTAAGATAAAATTGTCAAAAAAACCTGATTTTGTTTTTGTTTTTGTTTTTTAGATGACTAAATTTATTCTTAGAATTCTGTGTTTTAAATTTACTGGTTGTCCAATTCTATCAATAACTTCATGGCAAGAGACTGAATTTCTTTCAGGGTGTGCTTGTTTTCGAAATGTAGACACTAATACTAGCTAAACCTGCCTCTCAAGTGATGACTGAGTTTCATACATTAAAGAACTGTGCAGATGAAAACGATTGACCCTCTTGGAGGGTTAGGGGGGTGGTTAGGGGTAGGGAGAGTGGGCAGAAGGGCACAGACTCTGAAGCCAGACTCCTTGTGAATGTAACCCTTACTGCTCTAAATTGTCTGGATTACCTTGGGTTTGTTACTTAACTTCTTGGTGCTTCAGTTTTCTTATCTTTTAAATGGGAGTAATAATATTTCCAGGCCATTATTATGAAGACTAAGAGGGAAAGTTCCTGGTGCATAGTAAATGTTGTCACCCTTGCCCTCTAAGGCAACTTGAATTTACCTAAGAGTAAAACTTTATTTTGCCATGTATAACATGCACTTTTTTGCCTAAAAATATGAGGGAAAACTAAGGATGTGCCTTATACATGGGTAGTACTAATTCTGTATCTATATATTCTTTTATTTATGCTTATGAGTTAAGTACAACTCTGGAAATCTATAACGATATCTGTATGCAAAACAATACCCTAGAATACGATAATTAGTTTTGTTGAACTTACTATGAACTTACGACGAAGAGTTCTTGGCCTTCTATGATGCATAAATGTCGTAAGTTTGTTACTGGTACATAAAATTTCCATACCTTGTATCTTTTTTTGTGTTCTGTAATTATTCGTTATATAACATTTCTTATATCACAATATGTTAAAAAATAAATGCTAAAATTCCTTTATAATATAAAAAACAAGTATCTAAATATAAACAAATAATAATTTGAATTAAAAAATTAAAACAAAAGATTTTTTGTCCCTGAAAGTTTGGGCCAAAAACGTGGTTGTGCATTACATATGGCAAAATACGGTATATGTACAGTTACTGTGAGCTGCCATCAGGAGGTTCTGATGTTTAGTTGAAAGCATAGGTCATAGTCTCTTCTCTCTTTACAAAGTGTGTTGTTTTAAGTATAGCCCTCTAAGTGTTTATGTAAACAAAATATATTATTTTTAGAGAACTGGAAATTTAAGTCACTATGAGAGGTAAATTCAGCAACCTAATTATTCCTAGAGGCAAAATTTAAAGGAGAAATCACATTGAAAAATTAACTATGATTCTTGTTAGTACTGTTTAGTTTAGATAGATTTACACCTTAACCTCCAGGTTACTCTGAGAAAAGCTCTGGTCCCTGGCTCTGGAGTGGTCCACGAGTCATGGTGTTAAAGTCCAACACTGAGGACTTGGATGACTTAGTAATGATGACTCCTACCTAAGTCACTTACAGTGTGGTGAGTGTCAATAGCCAACCAAAAATAGAGTAAAGCCAGAGAATGCTTGACACACAGATGAACATCTCAAACAGCAAGTCATAGGTAGTAAAACATCAGCCTTGCTGTAGTCATTAAAGTAATAAAACATTTCAAATTATTACATAAGAAACCTATAATTATTTTAATTCAATGCAAAAAAATCCAATCAAATGAAAATCTAAATCAACCTAGAAATGTATTTTCCATATAATTAAATTATTTCCCAATTTTTTATATTTATAATTTTTCAAAAACCCCTTTAACATTTTGCATGAATTTTTAAAATATTTAACAATAGCAAGACAGAACAACAACAAAATTAGTGTTCAACAATACTTCCTGAAAAGAGTTATCACTTGATTTATTTTATCTTGAAGAAAAAAGTTAATATCAACTAAAACAATCCATTAGTTGTTATCCCTGTAGTTTTGTGGGTTATGTAGCCATTTTACTTACGATTCTTTTCTAATTTCATGGGAGATGAAAAAGAAAAAAAAAAAACCCAATCTACATTTCTTGAAGAAAAGTAAGTTTATATAAACACAATTTTTAGTGAGGTAAACATTAAAATGAAGCAAATGATCTAGGTATTTCAGAATCATACCATTAAGCATTCTGATAAAAAAATGTTTCAATTTTAATTTATTTTACTAGGGGAGTTTGATTTGCTATCATCTAATTTTCACAACAAATGATATACCCCCCAAATAATATTGTATCTTAGAAAAATAATAGGCAAACCACACCAATAAGAATTCTGTTAGGATTGAAAGTGAATATATGAAAATGTGTATAAAAATAAAAACTAAACCAATTTTTAAGCACTGAAAACTTTGAATATTGAATTTAAATCATTATAATTAGAAAATAAAGTAATTTAAAATGGCTTTACTTATCTTTTAGGTGGAGACTATTCCTGTTTCTACTAAACTTCACTATATGTGATATTTGCATTTTATCCTTGTGTCCATTTTCATAGACATTTATTCAGTCTTTTATTTTATAGCTTCTTTTTGTGTGTGATAATTGCAGTCTGCAATTTATTTTATGAAGATATTAGTCTTGGATAACATTTACCATGAAGACTGCTTTATATTTGTATTTAGCATTAATCTTTTTTAAGTTACTGTATTTATGTATAAAAAATGAAGCTCAGACACAAAATAGAAGATATCTTCCTCTGAGAGTAATGAATAAAATATTGATTAGCATAAAAATTAACATAATAAGTATATTTTACCCAGCCTTCTCTTAACTCAAAATCTTTTTATGTTCTTATTAAAAATGAAATGGCATGCAAAATCTGGGGACATTTGTAATTTTAATAGTTGGTGTTTATTAAAATCAGACATATTTAGTGATTTTAAAATAAGTATTTTAGATATTTTTCAAATCTTGATTTGGAAGACTGAATATACTCAGGAGATCTGAAATCCTCTTATTAATGTACTTTGATATCACTGGAAATGCTTAATGTTCAGGGCAATTGCTTTCAGAGTTATACTTATATCCCCCAGATAGTCACTATCTATAAGAATAATATTTTTCCTCTGGTAATTTATGAAAACCACAATGGACAGGATCACAGGCAAAGCAAGTATGGGAAAATTGGTCAAACAGTCAGATCTTCACTTGGAATCACAGTGCTCTGTTCCTTCCCATATTGCTACTGGGGGGAAAAATAAATCACCCACTTATTTAAAATATAATGTAAATATACCCTGAATGAACTCCATGATATCCAGAAAGGTTCATCAAAGACTAGCTTCAAATTCTCTGTTACTTGAAGAAAGTAACAGTATTTTAGATGAGCAAAACTTGTAGCTCGCTAATCCATTTTCATTAGAGAGAATTGAATCTGAGTTATATTTTTCTGCATTATAAATCTATCTGGCATATAACATGCTAGGATAAATGCTTTCTATATGGAATATATGATTTTCTTCAGTTTCTTCTATCTTACAAGGGTAAGCTTAGAAGTGAATGTTGCTAAGAAAGGGATTAGTTTTGTGATCTGAGATCACTAAGGAATACATTGATTGAGCTCTCTTGATCTCCATGTGCAGTTGGCCGATAGTGAAGTTAGTGGGAACACTAATTCTGCATGCTACCTCAGGGTGAGGATTTGAGTTCATATCACTTCCTTATAAATAACATGCTGCATTAACCTGAGAAATTTCACTGACCACAAGTTACCTGTGTGCTAAATAGCCTATTAGTAAATATTACCATATAACATGTTTAACCAATTTCTCTATTGTTAGTCTTTCCATTTGATAGTTCATTTTAAAAGGAAGAAATAAAAATTTACATTTCAATAAGTAATAGAATTAGGACCTTTTTTATTACTTTTTATTATCTATTTTAAATGGAAAACACAATAGAACCCCTAAAACACATTAATAAAAATTAGTGAATAGTGCTTCGGATAAACTTGATAACAAGCTTTATTACAGCAGGTTTTTTTTTCTGTATTGCTATTTTAAAAATATATAATAGTCAGCAAAAAGAAAATGGTTGCAGTGTTATTTTTCCCTATTTTTAGTTACCGAATGTCTCTTTTGTATCCTAAAAGAGCATGTGTATTTATTAAGAATTCTAAAAACTGAGAAGAACTGTATTGGTTTCAACTGCTTTAAAAAATTATTCTTAAATTTTGTAGGGCAGATATTAATTAAGGTTAAAATAGTATTCTTAGTGGTTGGGAAATTCCATGGAATCACACATGGCATGACAGCTGAAAGAGTTCTTCAGATTACCTTGAGCAACTACTCATTTGGTGGCTAAGGAACAGAGACTATAAAATGTTAATTGAAATGTTGAAGATTCCTAAGAAAATGCAATTCAATTAAATTAATTCAAATTAACGAAATTAATTCAACTTGATACTGCCTCCTGATATTTCTGCTAATTGTTAGCCCTATTCAGTTTTAGGCAAACTTTTTCTATAAAGGGACAGATAATAAATATTTTAGGTTTTGCTGGCCACATGGCCTCTGCAGAACTACTCAATTCTGTTGTGGTGCAAAAGCAGCCATGGAAAAGATGCACATGGGTGAGTTTTTTCCTGAATAAGGTGTTTTCCTGGCAGATAATTTTGCTTGTTGTGCATTTATTCCCTCTTGTAGAATGCTCTAAGACCACCATAGTTAACATTTGCAGCAAGAGATTAGGCTAGGCTGCTCCACCCTGGTGAGTTTTAAATTCTCATTATATATGAGTAGGGCTCTTCAACTTCTTCTTTTCTTTTCTTTTCTTTTCTTTTCTTTTTTTTAAGTTTCGTTGCAAAACTGACAAATGTATTCCATTCTGGTGGAAATGCGACACTGTGGATGACTGTGGCGATGGATCTGATGAACCTGATGACTGTCGTGAGTACACTGGCAAACATAGAAATTTAGAATTTAGAGCTCCTTAAAACCCAGATGTGGAAAATTGAAGCTAGATCTAAAGTATCACCTTCTAATATTTTTCCAAAACTGAAATAAAAAGTTTTATATGTTTATTTTAAAAAATACAACAAAAATGTGTTGCAAAGTCTTGGCTATGTATCTGATAACTATTACATTTAGAATGACAGTATCAGCAAAATTGTGTTAGTTTATTTTTCTTCTAAAATTTTCTTACTTGTAGAATAACTACATCACTTCATGTAGTGTTCAGTAGAGTAACAATCAGCATGATTTTGACTTTCCTATATCATCAATTTAAAAGCAAAAATGGGCAAGCTTTCAGGATGTCACTGAATGACTGAAATCTTACTTGTCATGATACATTTTTCTCACTTTTCTGTCAGTATTAAAATATAGAAAACTCATTAAATTCAGGTTTTTCCAACATAAATCATTAGTTTGCAGTAGGCAATTTAGTATTCTCTTAATTGTTGCCTTAAAATGATTAGCAATTATGTCTTGACATCTGAATGAGATTGGCATGGTTAAGTGCTATTTTGTTTGTTTGTTTTTTAGCTATCTTTGGTGACTGGTTGTAATGGACAATCAGCAGACTTTTCCTTGATAGCCTTTTACAATCACTACCTGAGTCACTCCAATACTGTCCTGTCAGGCTGAAGATGCTTGTAGTCAATCATGATAATTTGCCCAACATCCCAGTTACCATGATTTGGCCTTAACGATTACGTTCAAGATCCTTCTTAGACTTTCACTAAAGAAAGAATGTACTGACACAATGAAAACTAGCTACTTTATTCTGTGGACTTACCACCACATAATTACAAAGCTGTTTCAAACTCTGGGTCTCTAGATAGTTGCTTAGATGAGCTCTATTCCATTGCTCTGGTCACTACCAACTGCACCAAATATTTGAAATTCTATCACATGGTTAACTTGTATATTTTTTTTTAAGATTTTTATTGGGTAATTGGGGGATAGGAACAGTGCTGGGAAATCGGGGGAAGGGGAACAGACAAGTTGCTGTCCTTTTGTTCTTCAATCTAGTTGTGGAGGATGTTGCTTCACTGGCCCAAGTTGGCACCA